CCAGTTGGAACAACTTGCTCAAGGTCTGCCAGTGAACCAGTTGTTAGATTGAAACCAGAATAGAGAGCTCATGACTGCCAGGTGGGTTCTCTTTACACTTGGCTCTGCTGACACATTTCATCAGTTGGGACTTTTTGATTGCAAGTGACAGACAACCCAACTCAATGGTGTTTAAACAAAACTAACCAAAATACAAAAGGGAAATGTATTGGTTTATTTATTAAAGGGTGCAGTGATAGCTTTAGCTTCAGTGTGATTTCAATGATATCAACAGGACTTAGTCTCTCCATTCCTCTGGGTTGGATCTAGTTTGCCCAGATTTTCCCTGTAATGACAAGATGGCTGCAGGAATCTAGGTTTTGTGACTTCACAACTATATAGCCTCACAGTTTCAAGTCCAACAAACAGACAAGGAAATTTCTCCAACAGTTCAAACAGAAATGCATATCTGACTCTCAGTGGTCTGAAACCGTTATGTGCACTTCCCATGTCATGGCCTGGACCATGGCAGTTCTCTGATTTGTCAGGGCCAAACCACGTGCCCACCTGAGTCGGGATGAAGCTGACACCACCTAGATCTCATGATCAGTAAGTGGGAGAAAGCAACCAGTAGATGTCTGACACCATGAGCTTTTTCTTAGGGGGCTCTAGTTAAATTAAATGGGTGCTGGTGTGAAGGATTTCTTTTTCCTTTGTAGAGTTTTAAAAGCATTGACACATGTTTTTTACTCAAAACACTTCCTGCTTTTCTTAGTTAACGGTGTCATCCAAGAATTTAATGTTTTCTTTATTGGTGGTGTCTACTGCTACAGTGTGCTGACTGTCATAGAGTTTGACATTGGCAATTTTAATCATGTACCTGGTACAGGTAAATATGGCAAAAATTAGAAATGTAGAATGATTCTAGAAGTTACTAATCAATTATAAAATGAGGTTAGGTGCATTTAAACTTAAAGTTAATTTTTCTTAGTTCACCTGATGCATGAATCTCTGCATGCTTACAAGGCTCCTTTTGTGTCTTGCTGCCTTAGAGTTTTTGGAGTGTGCAGTCTTTGAGCAGAGTTGATTACAGTTTCTTTTCCAAATTACATTTATTCTGTGGAAGTATATTTATTGATACAACTAGAGTGTCAACATACTAGTAAGTTATAAGTGAAAAAAGTAGACCATGAAATAGTAGAATCTGAAACTACATAGACCTCTTAGGAGGGTTAGTAAGCATTTTGGGAGCTCCAAAGGAAAGTTTTAAAAAAATCTGTTTTTAAACATCTTTGCTTTTGCCTGGATATTGATCAAATAATTTCAAATTGAATTCAAGGTGCATTGGAAGTACATTTCTAATGCAATTTAAATTGTTATTTTTTGAAGAATTAAATACCCACACAGAAGAGTTTCTTCAAGGAGTAGAGGTAATGTACATGAAGAGTGGTGTTCAGCTTTGGCTGTACTTTGGAATCATCAGTGGAATTTAAAAATCTGCCAATGCCTGAATCCCACGCCCAGAAGTTCTGATGTAATTGGTCAGGAGTGTGGCCTGAGAGTGGGGGTTGGAAGGCTACCCAGAGTGATTGATTCTAATGTGTAGTCAAAAGTTGAGACCCACTGATGTGAAGCCTTACTACAATTCCTGACACATAGTAGGTTCTCAAAACTGGTAGACAGGATTATGATAATTGAGTGCATAAGAGAGTTTTAGGTAAGTTTGAGGGAGAGATTCCTGGGGGCATTTCAGGAAGGCAGTGACATTTTACCCAGCCCTTAAAGAAAAGGGCAGTGATTGCAGTGTGAACAAAAAGATCTGGAAGTTGGAAAGCCTAGTCCATGAGTCAGTGCTCAACTATCTCAATATTATAGGCATCTCTGTGGATTTGTGTCTCTATCCTCAAAAAGTTGAAAGTCCCACCCTCATTGGATATATCTGATGGCGTTACCTATATTCATGATCTATTGCTATGTAACAAATTATCCCAAATCTTAGTGTCTTCAAACAACAACAATTATTTATTATCTTTCACTGTTTTTGTGCATCAGAAATACAGACGGGGCTTGTCTCTGCTCTTCTGTCTGGGGCCTCATCTGGAAGTCTTGAAAACTGGGTTTAGAATCCTTTGCAGGTTTATTCACTCACATGTCTATGGTTGATGGTGTTTGCTGGCTGAGGGCCTAGCTGGGCTGTCAGCTGGAACACTCCTACCTGGGCTTTTTTTCAAGTTGGTGGCTAGGTTCCCAGGGCAAGCATCCTGAGAGAGACAGGGAGCCAGTCAGAAGCTGTATCCTTTTTATGACCTAGTCCCGAAAGACTCATAGCATCAATTCCAACTGATTTTGTTAGAAATGAACCACTGAGTCCAGCCTAGTCAAAGGAAGGCAAATTAGATTCTTCTACAGTTGAAAGGGAGAAATGTACAAGACTTTGTAGGACATATTTAAAAGCCACCACATTACAGAGCACTTTAGTTCCTCCTAGCCTGTCACGGCTAGAACTTTTTGACTCGAGGGCCACAATGGGTTCTTAAACTGGACCAGAGGGCCGGAACAAAAGCATGGATGGAATGTTTGTGTGAACTAATATAAATTCAAAGTAAACATCATTACATAAAAGGGTACGGTCTTTTTTTTTTTTAGTTTTATTCATTTCAAACGGGCCGGATCCGGCCCGCGGGCCGTAGTTTCCCCACGGCTGTCCTAGCCTGTCATGGCTAGAACCTTGGGTTTGCAATCTGAAATAAGATTTCAAGTTCCATTGCTACCTTTTCCTAGTAGTATGGGTGAATCACTTACTCTAATATAATCCTTCTTCTCTCCTTTCATCCAGTTAAAAGGAAGCCTAAAGGGAGTCAGGTATGTGCATATGTTTCGATAAACTTATACAAATGCACAGTATCCTTTCATCTTCCAATAACCTTCTTCCTTGGACTGAGAATGAAGAGAGTACAAAATATAGAATGGCCTGTGAAATCATAAGATCAAGTTAGTAGGAAAAATGATCATGAATATAGACAGGGTCCTGTTTAATTCCATGTAACTTAAAATATTTTCAATGTAAATCATAAAGACACTCTTTGTAGGAAATAGTTACTACTGATATTATGGACATTATTTCCAATTCCCAATCAGGGCACATGCTTAGGTTGTGGGTTTGATCACTGGTTGGGTGCATACAGGAGGCAGCTGATTGATGTTTTGCTCTCACATCAATGTTTCTCTCTCTCTCTCTCCCTCCTTCTCTTTCTCTCTTTCTGGAATCAATGAACATATCCTCATGTGAGGATTATATATACACGTGTGTGTGTGTGTG